ACTATACAAAGACCTGACAAAACTTGGCTGCACCACAATGGAAGACGCCCTAGCCAAAGCAGTGATCCAGATCAGATAGGAGGAAGACGAGGCAAACTGAATAAGGCATGCTAGATATGATGACCGTTACCAAAGGTGAAGTAAAAAAAGGTCAGAGTCCAGATTGTTTGAGCCCTGTTATCAACCCTTTCCCTGCAATCCAAGCAGAATCAAAAAATCGTATGATCGTCAACTGAGCAGAGCCATAGATAAGCCATCCGAATCAAAACAATTCAAAATTCTAGAGTACAACCTCAACGTTGAACCATCTCAGGTTGTGGCAATCATGAAAGGGATGAGACCTACCGTAAAGTGGCCAGCCAAGCTCAATCCTAGCATAAAGAGAGGCACGACCAAGTGGTGCAAATTGCATGATGACATGGTCATAACACCACTGATTGCATCGCCCTAAGATTGGAAGTTACAACAGTATTGAAGAAGAGACATCTCCGAGACTTGTTGACACATAAAGGGAAGAATACAGTTGGCCAGAGAAGCTCGAAAGAAACATCTCCCCCTCTACGGGAACTGACACCAAAGAGGTTTTGCTCCATTATCTCTGGAGGGTCAAAAATCAGTGGGGTGAGTTATTCCTCCGCCAAGCGCTACGCTCGAGCCAGCCATCACCTAGAAGTTGGTCCATCCATCCATCCCCTCGGGCACATACCAACCAGATCATTCAGTTTAAAGATGATGAGCCACTCACCTTAGCGGCCCCTCATCAAGATGCTCTGGTCATCTCCATCTAGATTGCCAACATCTTGGTCAAGAGAGTATTCGTAGATAGGGGATCCTCGACAAACATCCTCTTCCTTGAATTAGTGAAAGCCATGGGACTGGATGAATCAAATATTAGCAGACGACCAACCATCCTGGTCGGGTTCAGTTTTGAGTAGAAGTACACGATTGGTGAAATCGCCTTGCCTGTCTACGCCAGCGGAATCAACAAGCAAACCATCTTCCTAGTACTTGATTGCCCCTCATCGTACAACGTCATCTTGGGTCGACCCTGGATCCATGACATGCGAGCTGTCCCATCCACCTTCCATCAAACTATCAGGTTTCCAACAAAGTGGGGAGTAAGATAAATCAAGGGCGATCCTAAGGCCTCCAGAGACTGCTACAAGAACGCTTTCAAAGGCAAAGGTCATGCTTCATAGCAACAACAGTCATATCCAACCCTTTTGACCGAGCCAGATCAACCATCTATGGAAGAGTTGGATGAAGTGCAGAGACATTCGGACCACCCCGACCGAAAGACCCAGATAGGCTCTCGCCTCAAGTCCAAGATAAGAGAACGACTTATAGACTTTCTCAAGCAAAATCAGGATTGCTTCGCCTGGTCCCACGCAAACATGACAAGCGTCAACCCTGAGGCAATCGTCCACCACCTTCATGTAGATCTGGATCACCCTCTAGTGAAGCAGAGGCGAAGGAAGTTCACTCCAAAATGCAACTAGGTCATCAATGAAGAAATTGACAAGTTGCTGAGTAACAGACTGATCAGAGAAGTCTATTATCCTTATTGGCTAGCAAACGTGGTGGTCGTGAAGAAAAAGAACGGAAAATAGAGGTCCGCATAAACTTCGCAGATTTGAACAAGGCATTGTTAGGAAACGATCAAGTTATGGTAGCAGAAACAAAAACATGAACAACATGGATCGTTCCTTAGAACCAAGATCAGGGCACAAATTTACAGTTTATACAACATATATTAGAATCTGCAAAAAATCAATTTAAAGATAAGAAACCATACCTACGTTTGGAGGCTCATCCAACTTAACACCCAATGGGTTTCGCTACCGATCCAAGGGTAGGATCGAACCACCATTAGTCCACACGAAGATAACCCCAAGGAACTAAAGAGGGATTTGCTAGATCCTCTTTAGCCTTAAGAACCAAGAACAAAATCAAAAGTATTTTGATTCAATAGCCAAAGCAATCTGGCGTGGAAGAGAGGAAATGGGCTAGGGTTTTTCTCAAAAATGATTGAAATGAAATTCTTTTTTTTTTTTTTTTTTTTAATTTCACAAAGTGTTGCACTTATATAGTGCACACTTTGCCATATTCCTTCATGGAATAGGCTTGGGCACCAACCCAAACAACCCCTATGTCCAAACAACCCCATTTAGATATTTATTATTATTATTATTTCAATTAAATTCTATTAATATATATTTCATATATTTCATATATTAACATTTAACAATAACAATAATTCATTTAAATATATGCGAATATATATTTAAATATAATTTCACTTATTTAATTTTATATTAACAAATTGAATAAAGGCTACGATCTCAGCAAATTTAATTGCACTGTGAAATTACCAAAATACCCTTTCGCCTAAAATGACGAAAACACCTTTCTGATAAACATGTTCTTAAATTATCTTCTATGTGTGTGACCCGTAGGCTCCTCATCATATTGGTAGCGTGTAGTATCGCGATTAACACCAATTAATCGTCTCACTATACACAGACCAAGATTGGCCTCTAGCAAAGCATCATGGCCACCCCATAGATTTGGATTTAGCGAAGTAGCTACCTGTCAACGATATGGTTACTGTACAATCCAATGCTTTCATTATTTGTTATCTCGACGAGACCGAGGCATAGAAATAGTGTCAACCTCAGTTACTCTCGATATTATGTATTCAGTTATTGGACCAATGACCTAAATTATAAACTGGATAGAGCAACAACTCAATCCCACTGTGGCCACAATTTTAGTGTCATTGCCATTTACTGAATTACGCCGTAAGACAACTCCCCCCGTACCCGGGAGTGATGAATCATCTGTCTATCCACCATAGTCTTGATATACTCCTTGATGCAGCCAATCACTACCGTATTGACAGCTCTGAATAGAATTGCGTTGGGCTAGTGTCAAACTACACCAATCGGTGCACAAGGCGCTCCGGTGATCTCAAGTCTAAGGATCACATGCACCACCATTCGTTAGATGATTTGTTCCATAGACACTAGGGTTACCATCCATATGGAATCCTCTGGTAGGTCAGTCCAATAAACTTGCCTACAACAAGCACCCATGTGTTGTACCAGGTTGTCACCAAACAACTTTAACAAGTGAGATCAGTCACTGCCTTTCAATAGGGTCGCTCAACACTATGATAGCTTTACCATATTATCTGTGCCCTTACTTCAGAATAATACTAGGGCTATGGACGCTTCTAGAATGGCCACCATATGTGCGCATATGGTTCTCACTATCAAGATTTGAAACACTTGATACCTTCGTCACGGTTTTACCATTCTAAGGACATGTATCAATACATACAATGATGATTTAGGCGATATAGAATAAAATGCCTTTTATTGATCAATGAACATTATTACAAAGAGTCAATTCTACAATAATTGATTGGCTCTAAGGCATTTACTCTAACAGGCATATCCCAAGGACTCCTTCCCACTCCCGTATATCGACATGATGGTCGATGCGATAGTAGGTCACGAACTTCTAAGTTTTATGGATGCCTTCTCAGGGTACAACCAGATTTTGATACACTCAGATGACTTGGAAAAGACAGCTTTCATCATAGAGAGGGGAACCTATTGCTACAAAGTAATGACTTTTGGTCTTAAGAATGTCGGGGCAACCTATAAGCGGATGGTCAACAGAATGTTTTCCAAACACCTTAGAGATACCATGGAAGTATACATTGACGAGAAACTTGTCAAGTCCCTTATGGCCGAGCAGCACCTTGACCACATTAGCCAAGCATTCACCATCCTAAGGAAATACAATATGAAGCTAAACCCAACCAAGTGTTCGTTCGGGGTCTCATCAGGAAAATTCTTGGGGTACATGGTGACTTAGCGTGGGATAGAAGCCAACCCTGACCAAATCCAGGCGATCCTCAACATAGCATCCCCAACTTGCTCAAGACGTCCAACGCCTTGTGGGGTAAGTAGCTGCCTTAAGTCGTTTCATCTCCAGATCCGCTGACAAGTGTCATCTCTTCTTCGCCACACTCAAGAAATCCAAGAAGTTTGAGTGGACCCCTACCTTTGAGTAGGCCCTGTAGTAGCTAAAGAGGTGCCTAACCTCTCCCCCACTTCTTTCGAAGCCCATGGTTGGGGAAAAGCTATACACCTATTTGGTAGTCTCGAAGGCAGCCATCTCAGCAGTGTTAGTCCAGAAAGACAATGCGAAGCAGCTACCGGTTTACTATGTAAGTAAATCACTCATCGATGCCAAGACACGATACAACCAGCTGGGGAAATTAGCACTCGCCCTTGTCCATGCATCCAAGAAGCTTAGACCATATTTTCAATGCCACTCCATAGTCATCCTCACCTTCTTCTCACTCAAGAAGATACTTCATAAGCCAGAGTTATCAGGCCAACTCACCCAATAGACAATAGAGCTTAGTGAGTTTGATATATCCTTCTAACCAAGCACCGCCATCAAATCCCAAGTGTTGGTAGACTTCATTGTTGATTTCACTCCTAACACTATCGTCCCGATGGAAAAAAAAGTTATTGTGTATGAATAGCGGGTCGTCTTCGAAGTGGACTCTCTCAGTGGATGGCTTAAGCAATGTGAATGGAAGCGGGTTCGACATTTTACTTATTACACCAGAAGGGGATATCATCTAGCGGGCCATACGATGTGGGTTTAAGTGCATAAACAATGAAGCTGAATTCGAAGCCCTTATCGCCGAACTTTCTCTAGCCAAGGAGATTGGAGTAAGAAAGCTGGAGGTAAAGTCTGATTCTTAACTCGTAGTCAACTAGCTACAAGGCACTTACCAAGCCTGAGACTCGAAGATGACAACTTACTTGAACTTGGTCAAAGAATATAATCTGCCTTCGAAGAATTCTCTATCACCAAGTCCCAAGAGTAGAGAACACCCATGCTGATGCCCTTGCCAACCTCAGCTCAGCCTTCAAAGGCTTCTCTCAGTCATCAATCCCACTACTATTCCTCCAATGGCCAGCCGATTGAAGGAACATCCAACAAGCAAGTTGCCCAACCTGAAGGAGCCTAAAGAAGTAATGGATGTCAAACCAGCCGACTCTTGGATGACCCCCATAATCAGATACTTGGAACATGATAAACTTCTAGCCGATAAGAATGAAGCACGCCGCCTGAGAGCAAAAGTTGTAAGATTCACCATATACTTGGGCCAACTCCTTAGGAAGTCATTCTCTGGCCCCTACCTCAAATGCACAAGCCTAGAGGAAGCCAAATATGTTCTCACCGAACTCCAGGAAAGCGAATACGAGAACTATGCAGGAGGACACAGCCTTGCCCGCTGGGTGATCACTGCTGGTTATTATTGGCCAACTATACGCACTAACTCAAAATCCTATGTGAAGAAATGCAATAGCTGTCAAAGGTTCGCCCACGTCTCACACCTCCTACCTGAACGACTCAAGTCTACCCTCACACCTTGGCCATTCATGAAGTGTGGGATGGACATAGTTGGAAAACTCCCAACCGCATCCGAGCAACGAGTCTTCATATTGGCAGTCACTGACTATTTTACTAAGTGGATCGAAGCCGAAACACTCGCCTAAGTTAGAGACCGAGAGGAGGTAAAAGCCTTCATTTGGACACATGTCATCTGCAGATTTGGAATACCGAAGGAAATAGTCACCGATAATGGATCCTAATTCATTAGCTCAGGCTTCAGAGACTTTTGTGACATATGGGGGATCAGGCTCAACTTCTCTACCCCTCGCAACCCCCAATCGAACGGCCAAACTGAATCATCAAATAAAACAATCATACAAACTTTAAAGAAGCACCTCTAGAAAGCTAAGGGCGCATGGGCAGATGAACTACCAAGGGTCTTCTAGTCCTATCGAACAATAGCCTGCTCGTCCATTGGCGATACCCCTTTTTCCCTCACATATGGATCTGAGGCAGTCATCCCAGCCAAAGTATTGGTCCCCTCAACCAGACTCTAATGGTCAGATGAAGAAGCCAATAGCCAGAACCTTTGTCACAACTTGGACACAATCGATGAACTATGCAAGCAAGCAAACATCCTCAATGCCATCTACCAACAGCAGGCTGCTTGACACTACAACCGTAATGTCAGAGTAAGAACTTTCAAAGAAGGCGACTGGGTTTTCTGCAAAGTCTTTCAAAACACAAAGGAGATCAACTATGGCAAATTCGGCCCTACTTGGGAAGGACCCTACAAAATCGCCAAGGAAGTAGGAAAAGGTGCCTACGGACTTCAAACCCTAGAGGGCAAAGACATCAGCAATAGTTGGAATGCAATCTACCTTAAACACTACTATTTTTAGTCAGATTTATCTCAGCGTCAATTCTTTATTCTTGTTTCTATTTTAAAAAATGATGAATGGGCATATCCACCTCCCTCACCTTCAGTTGGCCTCGTGGCCTAAATTCAATAAAAGAACTATTCAGCGATATACTTGCATACACCTTCAGTCGGCCCAGATCGACTTAACAATTCATGCAAACTCACACCTCCAATTGACTCAAACTGACTTGTCGACTTACACCTTCAGTCAGCCCAGATCGACTTAACAATTCATGCAAACTCACACCTTCAATCGGCTCAGACCGACTCATCGACTTACACATCTAATCAGCCAAGACTGACTTAACAAGTCATGCAAATTTACACCTTTGGTCGGCCCAGGCCAACCAAAAACAACTAGATGGCTCACAACTCATGTCAGCCCATACCGACATGGTCCTATAAAATCACCTTTAAGCAACACTAGCAACTCAACCAGTTGGCTTTGTCCACATCACAAACACAATCAGTCGGCTCAAACTGGCTGTATTGGTTTATAAACTCAAATTGGACCATGCTGACTCGATTATAATGTTTCGCCTAGACAAGATACATCTGCGAGGCGATTACCTAGGAAAAAGGGCTTAACTCCCACACATCTACAAACAATTAACCTATCCATCCACGAAGAAAGCAGTAAAATGGAAACACAAGCTGAAACATAAAAGCCCCAAATGGCTAAGTATGAGATAAACCATAAAAGCCTCAAACAGGTAAGTATCAGATACAAAAAGGCACATACGCTATGAAAAGGCAATGCAAGCCCTAGAAATATATGAGGAAAAAATAAACATAAGCCTAAGAGGCATCATGCCCCACATCATTAGTACGAGTCGTCTCACCCATCTCTGACTCGGTCACCCTGTCATTGGCCCCAGCAGTCATCCCCACAGCCTAGTCATCGACATCCTCTATAACCGACCGTCCCGGCTGACTAGCGAGGTCGAATACCTGGTCATCAACCCGCTTTTTCGCATAATTCGCGTGACCAGCAGCCTTAACCTCCTCCATCTCCTGCAATAGCTGGATGTCCTCATCCAGGTTCCAGTGGGTAGTGTTCCTGACCTTGTATTCCAACATCAGCTCTCCCCTAGCCCAAATGATGGCATCGTCAACAATGCTAAGACATTGCTCCCTCAGCGACTCAACCTCCGCGTTCTTCTTAGCCAGCTCCTTCTTAAATCGCTCTAGCTCGACCTCGACCTCCCTCAGTTGCTGCTAGCTTTCCCGCTCAACTTTTTGGGATGTCGCCTCTCTATGTCACAGATTAGCGTTGGACTTAGAAACATCATGTATTTTCTTCTACGACATGATGGATTTCCTGAGGTGTAGGCTACTTGTGAAAGCCTACGCAATAAAACCACTCGATCAGTGTACAGTCACTATAAGTACAGTCAGATAAAAATTTAGCTCGTACTTGGAAAGCGTCGGAAGCCCCCCAGTCAACAGTCGCAACTACGCCCATTTGATTCTGTCGGCCAACTTGCTCACGAAAATGACATCCGAATAGGTCGATGTAGAGGCTGGGATACTAAAAGTAAGCATGTTAGTCTCCTTATCCAAGATCACCATCTTGGATGACTTAGCCCCGGGTGCTGGCAGTTGTCTAGGTGGAGTCACAACCACATCCTCCACCTTCCTTTCCTCTCTAGTCAAAGAGTCCCTCTTTCGCTTCTCACAACGTCTCGCGATGGACTTACTCGCACTGGGGACTGTTAACTTCTTCATAAGCCTCTCTGCAATCGTAAATTCCTCAACAATTAGTCTGTTTAGCCTCGACTTACTAGACAAAATATGATTGTAGTAGCGGATGAGCAGCACACTCTAAGTCTGCTTCAGTGAAAGGAAAGGGATACCACGCTGAATCGCACCAACTCCAGCCTACAAGTGACTCGTCCTCAAATTCATCACCTCCAACACTACTCGCCAATCCCTCTAGGCCCTAGGAATGGCAAGAAGCTTTCTAGTCTGCACGACCAAGCCGTCCCTACTCTGCCCGGCACGATTGAAATCAGGATCTGTAAAGGAAAAACAAAATAAGACTTTAGTAATCAAAGCACAAATAAAGACTAAGTTCCTCACCAGTTGCTTACCAGGTATACGGGATCTCGCCCTGGCCTCTCTCCAAAGACCGCTTCAGCCCTTATGAAGAAGAAGCATTCTTTCCAGTTTTTGTCACTCGATCGGAGATCGGTCACGAGATGAGCCCGATCGTGCTTTAGAGTGATCATGTACAGGCCTTTGTCCTTATCATTCTCTTTCGGGAAATATGAGTATAGCAACTCGTGCAGCCCAAACATCACTTGATTTCACACATAGAGGTCTTCCAGAGCTATCAACAATATCCAGCCATTCGAAATAACCTGAGTCGGCGCAATCATAAAATGATTCAGGACCTCCTAGACAAGACGGGGAATAGGAAGCCTTAGCCTGTCATGGAACCACTTCTCGTAGGCACTCACCCAACCTTTTGCCTCCCAATTGACCATCTCGTACGACTTAAGCACCCTAATCTCGATGGACTCTAGAATGTGGTACATTATCCTGATCCGCCACACATCACTCTCTTTCAGCAAGGGCAGATAGTCCTTACTCAATATCCTGCTATCGGGCTGACTTGGCTTGTCCTCAAAGCCACTATTGATGGAGGACAAACTTTTAGAACCATCGGCTTCATCGGAGTCTTCCCCACTTGTCCTTGCCCGTCTGAATCATCGTCACCCAGAGTAGCACCGCTCGGCCCAAGAGCGGCCACATTCACCCCCTTCGGTATACCAACCGAAACATCTCCACCCTCTTACATCATTACCATTGTTGGGGCCTCCTCGTATTCATTCCCAACTTCCATCTCTGCCCCACTTGAATCGCTCGATTCTGATTGCGACATTCAACTCCTTATCTACTCGACCTGGACGACTGATTGGTTTTTCAATACCGAATCTTATCTTAAGTTCCAAAAGCTCTACTCGCCCAAAGCGACTGACTGATAGGCTCTGAAACCAATCTAACTCTTTGCCTCTAAGAAACTTTCGGCTCGGTCAGGATTACCAAGTACCTACTGTTGGGATTCATTCATTTTGGACATGGAAATGGTGTAAAATGGATGAACAAGATGATGGATGCAAGGTAGAACACAAACATAACACATAAGCTCCTTTGCTATTCAACACTTGAATCTTCTTTCTTGGAATCTTAGTTCTTCAAGTGAACTTGAAGAACCTCAAAATGTGGTCCACACAAGTCAAGGAAGAGAAAGCAGAGAGAGTGAGAGAGAAAATGAGAGAGTGATTTTGTTTCAATTGATTCAATTCTTTGAAAATGGTATAACACTTGGTTTATATACCATGGGCACCAAGTGTAATTTTAAATTGTCTTGGGAAGTTCTCAAACAATTTAAAATTAATCTTGGAAAAGAGCATTTATGTCAAGTCCTTGGTTTTATGGTTAATTCATAATTAGCCCAAATTTTGATCCCATTAAATATTCTAACTCTTTAGAATAAAACCAATGCACTTTTGTCCCCGTTATTGAATCCGATTCAATAATAATATTTAATACATCCTTATTACCCTTGGTTAGTGCTAGCTATCCATGGATAATCATTTCTCACCAATATGTTAATTCGAATGCAACTGTTTATGTCCAAACATCATTAATCTGATTAATGATATGTATTACTCTCTCTCCTTGAGCTTGGTTTTATGTGTGACCATTTTGGTTCACTGTGATCTAGCCATGGGCCCAATATATGTTTTGTTATAACTCTTTATAATCGAAACTCCCACTGATTATGGTAGACGTCTAGCAATGTTCCATAACCCCTAAACCACAATAAAGTGTAAACTCCAATGAATACGTATCGTGAAGTAAAATCCCTCTGTCATCTAATCCCAATTAAGAATGGTTCATGGTATGTCAAAACCCTTAACTTAATCTTTAATTGAATTGTCAATCGATACAATGGAACTTGTCAACATGAAACTACTTTTCATCTGACATTCATTATACTCTAGCCAGAGATTTCCCTTTTCCAATGTTTATTAACATTCGTCTGGGAACTTGAGATTGGACTATTTTTAGTTAACGGATCTCATCTTGACCATCACTTGTCCTCGCACATGAATAATATATGACCAAACTGGCTTATTACACAAGACATGACTAGTCTCGTGCTTGTACACCATATGAACCATATACATCCTATGTTGAATTCAACCGTGATGTCTCAGGTCTAAGGATTAG